AAAATTAAAACTGAAAACTGTCTCAATTGATATAATTTATTTACAACAATTAATAAATTTATCTTATTACTTTTCACATAAGAAAGTATTCTTACATATATCAAAAAGAAAAATTTATAATATATATTTTACTAAAAAATAATTATCAGAATAAATAAATATTAATATATTCTAAATATATAATATAATCTTTTATAAATTTATTAAAGTTTTATTTTTAATATATCAAATCTTATTTTTAATAGATCTCTAATTTAGATTAATTTACGACATATATCAAAATATATTTATATTTTTCAAGTTTAAAGCTAATAAAAAATATTGAAAAATCAATTTTATATATAATTCTAATACAACTCCAATATAAATTACAGTTTGATTTTCATTTTTTATTATATTTATATATAAGTAATTTAAATTAGAGATATATTCAAGTGCATTAAAAAATTAACTATTTAATATAAAAATAAAACTTTTATAAATTATATAATTATTATAAAAAATATAATTATATGATCTAATAATATATAACATAAAAATAATATTAATTAATTAAAATATATAAAATTTTAAAAGTTATGCTTTTTCTATAATCTATAATTATAAAACTCATATTGATTATATTGAAAATATTTATAATTTAGATTATAAATTAATTAATATCATACTGATTGTATATTAGATAAAATTTATATAAAAAATAATTATAATGAAGAAATTAATTTATAAAAGTATTTGATAAAATAATTTATAAAAAAATAAAGATACTTTATACATTTGCAAATATTATGACAATCAAGAAAAAATATAATAGTATTAAAATTTATTAATAAAATATGAATGTTTTTTTATATAAAAATTTGCAATTTTATTAATCAATATTTTTATTTTTATATGAAAATACAAATAATAATTTATATTTAATATATATTTTTCAGATTTAATTTGAGAAAGTTTTTCTAATTGCAAACTAACTTAGTAATTTCATTTTAACTTAGAAAAACCTTTTCAAATTAAATCTAAGTAATCTGAAAAATATATGCTAAAATATGAATTATTTAAATTCTCATATAAAAATACTAGAAATTTTGTGGTTCAAAATGAGTACTTTATTTTGTTTGAACTGATATTAACAACAATAAAAATTTTAGAATATCTTAATTACGTATTCTATTTATTGTGTGAGTCACTATATATGGTATATTTTATCTTAGTGTTCGTATAAACTGGACTTTTGCCTAAATTCAAGTCTGATTCAAAGTTCAAACTGAACTCAAACCAGACTTTTGATTGGGTTCAAATTTTTTGAACCAGACTTTAAGTCAGATTCAAGTTTAGTTCAAGTTCAAAACTGAACCATTCTCAAATCAAATTTTTTTTCAGGACCCTGATTTCATCATCAAAATCAAAATAGCACTTTCTTTTATTTAAAAGATTCGCACAGTAATTAAATATTCTTCAGCCAAATATTCTATAAAAAAATTATAAATTTACTTTTGAATAAAATTGGAGACTTTCAGACATTATATTAGAATCGAATTATGCATATTTAAGAGTTCGCTGTACTTATAAATTTTATAAAGTAATATTTTGAAATGCAGAGTATGCATGGAATAAGAATATTAAGATTCTGGTGGTTTTTTAACTTAAATTTGATTTGTGTATGAAGAACAGGTAAATTTATATTTTCTTTAGATAGTGAGTATTTATGACATATGATTGTTTCTTCCCACATCATAGTAAAGTTTGTATTAACACTTTAAACTTTATTATGCCGAAACTTTATTGTAAAGAGTCAACTGCAATAAGAAGAATTTTTATTTCCTATATAAATGTTGTCTTAAAATACAAAATATAAAACTGGAATACTCGCAAATTTCAAACAAAGGATTCTAAGTGTAAAACTAAACTAACAAATATACAGAGAAACCTTCTCCCTATATACTTTCTAAATACAGTCTTTTTTTATATGGTTCAAGGGGTACATTTTAAGAGGTTTCTCTGTACTTATATTCTAATAAAAAAAATAAGACATATGATTTCGCTATTTCTGGATGTAATTACTTTTATATGTAAAAATAAAGTCATGAAAAATGAAAAATTGCCGAGTGAACAAAGAAAAACATGTTGAAATTGTAAATTATTAATAGTTTACTATCTGAAATATTTCAATTTCATCAAATTCAAATTCATCCTCGTCATCTCCAAGCAAACCATATTCGTAGGAGCTAGTCGCACAATAACCGCTATTATCTATTTCAAAATCTATTGTCAAATCATGTCCAAAATTTATCTGTGAATCTTCAAAATCATAATAAATTAAGGCATTTTCTTTAGTTCTATTTAATAACTCCTTATTATTATTATTCAGATCAAATGAATAAAGAAAACTAGCGCTAGTATCCTCAAGACGGAAAGGATCTAATTGCCAAGGTATAGGATTGTAGCCACCAATTATTTTTGAATGGTCCTTCAAACGAACAGCTGCGACTGTTGGAGCTTGTCTACCGCACAACCGATGAAAAGCTTTAATTCCAAAGCCGTCACGACTACCACGAAATAATAACTTTAAGCTCACTACACCGATTTGAGTTTTATCTTCTTGTTTAATCCACATTTTAATTTTGCTTATCTGTTGATTCAATAAAATATAGGAATAACTTGCTAAACCTCGTACATGTTGTGGTGTTGTTGTTAAATGAATTTCACCTTCTGAATCCAAATATTGTTTTTTTAAATCTTGAACTAAGGTCTCTGGCAATATTTGTGAATATGGCAAAACTTTGCTGAGAAAATCAGTATGGTTGATATGGAAGAATCTGATATATGACAAGCAATTTTGGAGAGTTGACTTTAAAAAATCGAATTCGTTCGGTGTCCAAGTTTCAATCGGAGAATCCAATTGAGAAGTTTGTGTGATTCCCCATTCAATAACTTTATTCCAAATTTCAATTTCCATAAGATTCAAATGATCATTTTGAAGCAATGAAACAAGAATCGGTTCTTCAAGTTGAGTAAAGTCAGGCGAGTCGAAGATTATTCCGGGATTTCTACATGCAATATTAATGCAAAATTTTTGCAAAAGTACAAAATTATCGTACTCGAAAGCGATTTGAATGACTGTAGAAAAGTTTTCCGTAATTAGCTCTTCCGAATGTTTACTTATATAAGTTTGGATATATTCAACTAAACCATCCATTAGCAACTCGTCCGCAGCAATTAGTACATCTAACACAATGAATAAATCATGATATTCCAAATCAATTGTTCCACTATAGAAATATCTATTAATTAATCATCAAACAGTTAATTATAATTGTTTATTATTTTTATGGTTAGTCCTTTTATTAATATTAATTTACCTTAATAAAATTTCGAAAATCTCAGGAGTGATATTCGGCTTTTGGAAACTGATCAATTTATTTACGTCTCTTTTAGTCCAGACATCCGACAAAGCTGTCGCAAAATATGGTGATTGTGCTACCAAGATTGCCAAATGCGCCGAAAAAGTTTTTTGTTCGTTTGGTTGTTCGCCGACAGTTATTAAAGTGTCATGAAAATTTGAATTTTCGTATAGTTTAACGAGGTTACCGCTATAGAATTCCATTAATTTTTCTTTAGTGTTAGACATTTTCTGTAGATTACGATTACGACTGTTGTTGATCGGCGAATGTTTTGACACAATCAACTTATCGTTATATACCGATACGTACATGTAACACATTTATACGTATGCTACTCACATGACTTTCTTAACATGTGTGATTAGCAATTCCAATAACGATAGAGATACATGATCAAAATTTACGCATTTTTATTTGTTTGTGTCACCAGCAGATCAAAAATTTACGCATTCTTATTGATTAACATGTGACCCGAACATTTTTTTCGCCATGGCAGGGTACTTTGACGAAATACCGTCAACGTGAACATAGAAAAATCAAACAACCTAGCTCGCAGTAGATCAGATACTCATATACACACGCCTACAATATATTAGGGGAAATTCAAAAATGACATTCATTTTTGAAATTTCTGTAAGATACACATTTTTACATAGATCGTAAGCTAATTGTCATATAAAAATTTTGTTTTTTTCTAGTTTAGTCATTTGCATTGTTACATGATATCTGCTATTTTATTGGTAACGAACTAGGGGTTTGTTATCGGAGTCCGGTTTTCAAAGTATTATTCAGGCCAATAAAAAAGCAAATGATTTACATATGATACTTAGAGATGCAGACATAATGCCATAACTTGCCGTAATTCGCTATAGTTACAGCAAGTTATGGCATTATGTCTGCACCTCTAATGATACAATCCAGCTTTAGACACTCTTTGAAATGCATAAAGGTTATATAGCAATACTCAACAAATTATAAGTTTTATTTGAGCCAGAGTTTAGAATCAAGGCCAGGTTATAGGCCAGTAGAATCTTTTGATGCACCACTGAATCTTACATAATAGTCTTATCTAAAATGATTTTTAGGAAATTTACATGTAGAAACATAATGCCCGGTTCCATAACAATTGCCACAATGACAAATCACTGTTTTTGACGTAGAATTTTCATCATTTGTTTCATTATTAACTCATTTTCTTGATTTTGAATTCTCTTCAAAATGTTCGCCTTCAGTATCTGTTTCAGCTATTCATCACGATTTATCTCGCATTGCATTTAAATCTTGCCTTGCATTTAAGTCTCGTCTTGTATGTAAGTCTCGAAGGACACCTTGTTGCGTAGATTTTGTCAGTCTTGGATGCCCTTTGTGTTTCAATTGTTTTGGATTGTCAATTTGAGTAACATAATAGCCAATTTTAGCCCACTTTTGTCTACGCCAAAACCATGCGCATACTCTCGTTTTTGGTATGAATGCTAGCTCGATATGTATCATGTTTATGAATAGAAATCACTAGATTCATTTCTTCATTTGTATCAAATTCCGCAGTAGTTGTGCCTGTAATTACAGAATAATCAGATGCTTGCATTGGATCGGTATACCAACGTTTAGATGTAAGCTTAATATCAAACTTGGCATTGCGAGACATCTTAAAAAACACTAAAGAAGTGTCTGCAATATAAATTATTAGAAATGATATAAAGACAGGTACAAATGTGCGTATTATCAGTTAAAAGAATAACATGATGAGGCTAATTGATCAAATAAAGAAACTCGCCGAATTTCAAGAAAATTTTCGCGGTTGACCATATTCATAATAGTTTCAAGTGAAACTTGTAATAAAGCATATTCATCCTCAAGATACCCATCCGTATATTCATGAGCATTAGGAAGCTTATAAAATAACGATTATGTTGATAATATAAAGCCATACCGAGGTTAAATCATTGGAATTTCGAATAAACATGTACGATCTAAAATGCTTTGAGATATTTGAATATTTTGAACTGAGGCAGATTCCAATGCTAAATATTTTTTAATTGCATCTTGGACAGGTTCAAAAAACACACTTTGAATGCTTGAAAGTCCTCGGGTAGGTAATGAATTTTTATATTCCGAAAGTCGTTGGTGTTGTGTAGAGATGGCGCAGCAAGTATGTGACGCTTATTTGTCACCCGTTGCAACACGTTGCAACTCCAAAATTTTATAAGCCACAACTAGTTGCAACTAGGTGATGCTTTATTTGTCACCACGTTGCAACAGTTGCCGCGCCATCTTTAGTGTTGTGCTTCACGTTCAAGTTTCATCTGAATAGCTTTGCCGAATTAAGAAGTGTTGTTTTTGCACCGACTTCAGTTTTAATAAGTCCAGTTGTGCTTTCTACCCGTTGTGTGCTTTGCATCCCAGCACAAAAAGTTGTAAATACATAGATTTTGGCCTATGATTGTCGAAATTTCAAAGTTGTTTTAAATAACTTTTGCCTGCAGTATATTGAATCAACAATTCTTCCCAGCGAAGCTCCAATTCTGCTTCGCTACGACTGTTATGACCTCGAAACCAGCTTTGTAAAAAATTATAGTATGAGCTACCAAATTTTCGAGACAATTTCTCTGCGATATTTGTCTGGATATGGAATATGCAATGATTATGCTTTGTGACAGGAAAGACTTGGCAAACAGCGGAAACCATGGCAGGATCTGCATCGGTAAAAATTACTTTTGGAGGTCAGTTGCTTGTAATACGCAATCTAAAATCCACTTATAGGAACTAACGCTCCCATCTTGAACAAACGACTGTGCCACAAGACTTGTTTGATGATGATTGTCAACAATTACGAAAAGATTCACTAGCATATTATATGCATTTGTTTTTACGGTATTATCGTTAACCACCACATCATGGTAACGCTTCCATAATTCTACTTACGTCGGTGACATCCAAAAAAGTTGTGAAAGATTATTATCAACGCCCTCAAACTCAATATAAATTGTTCATCCCGGCTCTTGTTCTTGTTGTTTCATAAGCCATTTCACCATATCTGCCGCATCATTTTCTCGTTGACTGCCCATTTGGTTTTTATATTGACATATTATATAAATCACGATCATATAAAAGTTGATTGGAAAATTTTTTGAAAGATATCGGCGTTGAGCTTGTGCTCCAAGACTACATTCTTGAGTTAAAAATTTTATATCATCGAGAACTTCTTGTGAAAGTGAACGTAGACTTGTGGCAATTTCTTTGCAAGGAAATGATCTTCAATAAACTTATTAAGACTCATTTTTTCGATACCCTGCGTTGCCACGGGCATCCAACTTTTTTAGATTCTCTTTCTCTATACTGACGATCTTTTTTTAGGTTGATGCTCTTTGGAATTTTTACAAAGTATCGGTGAATTATAGCTCCATTATTTTCACGCTCCATTCGAAATTTTATAGCTTTGATCCAATTTCTAACTCGTATTTTTTTCAACGCACTTTCTAGAGATTCCCATTTAGGAAAGGTAGCACCGACTCGAATTATATACTCATCATTTTCATTGCCACAATCGGATTCGTTGTCACTTCGTTGCTCACAGATCAATTGTATAAATTCTTGGTCGTTGTCACTTTGTTGTTCATGGGCCATTCGTACGGATGCTTGGTCATCACTTCATTGCTCCTGGGTCAATTGCATGGATTCTTCGGTTGGATTATTAAGGTTAAAATGGTCGCCGGTGGTTGGATTATAAGAATTAAAATAGTTGTCAGTGGTTAGACTATTAAAAATTGTTGTTGGGGTCAGATCATTAGAATTAAAATGTTGGCCGGTTGAAAAGAAGAGATCAAGTGGCATCAAAAATACGATAAAGTCAACAGTTAATATACGATATGGTTAACGAATTTCATGTTACATATCTTCTGACTAACGCTTATCTCATTTTTTTTTCATTGCAAAATAGAAATGTGCATTAATTTACCATCTTGTTCTTCGTTATAAATATGAACATACGGATCAAAAATGAAACCCCAAGATAATATTATTCGATATGGCCACTAAACCAACTAATAAATAAAGAATTTTTTCTCTTTTTTAATAGTCCGGAGCGAAGCAAAGGACTTTATACGTATTTATATCGCACATCGCTAAAATTAACATTAATTGATTTCATAAATTCAATCAAATGTATTTATATGGTGTAAATGACAATAAACTATATCGATATGTTTTTAAATTCTATAAACTTCTTATAAATCCCATTTAATTAATCCGCTCCGACTATATTGGCCAAAAGTATGGTGCAGGTCATCTTTAAACTGTATGTTTTAAATACTATAAACTTCTTACCTAGGAAAATTTAATCACAAATATTATAGAGTAAACCTTTCCTAATCATTAAATTTTGTATTTATTTCCGTTTGAAGGACTAACTATTGTGGCTATTTGTATAAAGAGCGATTGATGTTATGATCCAATCAACAAACGTTTCTGCTCCTGATTCAAGCAAATATGAGGAAAGATCTTGAAAGACAAAATTTAAAAATGACACTGAGCTAGTGCATAAACTTACAATTGATGAGTATGAAGTAGCCTTTAAGGGTGTTTATAAATATTCAGTTTTTTATGACGAAAAAGCTATTTAAATTATTCATAATATTCGGATTTAACCTTGAATTATGCTATGTTGTTTAATACTCGTACTTTATTTTATTGGAATTGCTATCTTTTTATATTTTATTTATGTATTTCTTTCTTTTTGATCATCAGATTCGAGTCGATTCACGATCTAATTAATTAAAAAACCTACCGTTCAACAAATTAATCACGAATATCAATTTAATAGACATAGCGATAGTAATTGTTGAAATTTTATTCCTATTCCGGATTTGTGTGAAGTTCAATTTGATCTTTGTCGTTGTGTATATACCGATACGTATATAACGATAATGTGCATTAATTTGAAAACGTTTCAATTAACGATCGACTCGACCACCAATAGGATTTGCTTATAGCGATAGTTAAAAACCGGTTTTTGGCTTTAAAGTAAAAAAAAAAAAATCTTTCTTGACGTACACGCGTCAATACATATCGATATTTAAATCCATTGTACCTTCTTGCATCATACGCAAATAGATGGGAGTTCAAATAAGCTATTGTGTATCTTTATCTTTTATCTTTAGTTCTTCACTTAAAGAACTGTTCTCACGGCATCGAACATGCATACTTTTTGAAGAAAATCGCTGCTTGATAGTTTTGTCATGTGTTGGTTAAGTTTCAGTGGAACAAATTAATGATTTCGAAATTTATCTTTTGGTCAAAGAATATCGATATGTATTGTACTTGAACAATCAATCTTTCCAATTTTATAAGAATTGTCTTATGCAGCTGTTTCGTGTTCTTTTACTACATTACATGCATGTTGTCTGTCTTAAAAAGCTGAATATGTTAACGCTCACTTCTACTTTTACTGCAACGGAAAAAAAGACATCTGGAGTCCTCAGAGTTCGAATACGTCATAGTCCCAACATTGGCGATGATGTCTCCCTAGCAAACGGTTATACATTGAGAAGTAATGAATATGAGATCGTAAATCAAATTATATTTGTCTACATGTATATTAGATCTACCTTATCTATTGTTACCGAAGTATAACAAATTTCGTTGATCTTGTAATTTCCGAAGGAGCCCGTTCGCCCCGATCTCAATAAAT